AAGTTATTTTAATTAATATATTATATTATTTTAATTTTTATTTACTATCTTGTTTGTATTAATATATTATATTATTAAATATATTTATTTTAATTATATTATTAAATATTATAATTGACTGGTTTTTTCAGATTGTCTTTTTGATCATTTTACATGATTATCAGCTAAATCTGTTCATCGATTGACATCTATTGGATGCGAGGGAACCAAATCGATCCAATCATCCATTGGATGTTGGATTTTGCTAACCGATATAATCCGATTAACATTGGATAACCGATCCAATCCAACCAAATGGATGATTGGATCGGTTCGCTTCTATCCATTGGATACTTTTATTGGATATCCATCGGATATCCAATGGATGATTCGATGGGATTGGATCCATTCAGAGTGTTAACTCAATCCAATTCTCTAACAATGATACAATTTAATTAATTACTTTTAATATGTGTTAAAACCAATACAAGCGAAGTTAAAAATTCAAAGTCTCACATATATAAAACAGATTCTGATTTAAGCAATTTGAAAATAAATTAATTGGATGATAGTTAAATAATGGTTGGATAGACAACTGGATAGTCATCAGATGATTAATTGGATGGGTAATTGGATGTTGAGCGATTCGGTTCGGTTCAATTTTGGTAGGTTCTAAACTGTCATATGAGAAACGACTAGTCCAAATTGGATGATGAAATTTTCAATCCGATCCGATCCAATTACAATTGGATATCCAATTATGGTCGGTTGATTCTAATTGGATCAATCGGGTTCAATTTGGATCAGTTGATTTTCTCTACATCCTTATTATCAGCTAGTTTTTGCCAAACATGATTTGATCATCAACTAGCTTATTACCTAACAGTTAGCTTATCTAACAGTTAGCTTATCAGCCATTAACTACTTATAAGCTAGTTTGTTAAACATAGCCTAACATTTTTTATATATTTTAATTTTTTTTAGTTCAAATTCACATTCTCTTTCTTATATTTATATGATTGGTAGACATGAATGAGATTTGAGAATTTGATACAAGAGGTTTTCATCCCATAGAAATAAGTCTTAATTCTTTATGAGACCTTAGGCAATGACCTTAATAGCCTTATACTTAAGTCGGTCTTATACGATCGATGGAAAAAATTTGGAAACAACATATATTCTTAATCCCGTAGGCAAACACCTCCATTTACAAAGAAAAAAAACACTAGAGTACGAAAACCCTCTTTTTTATCCTTTTGTGCAGTGGCAGAACACACAAGCTTAATAACGTAGTGGCCAGACTTAATCTCTTGTACTTTTCAAAAACGCAAAAAAAAAATAGTATCCAAAGTTGTAACATATGAAAACTTTAATACAAGACATTAAATATGAAAATGTCAGACACCACTAATCAAAGTAGAACTTGTCGATCCTTTGACGGCTTTAAAGTCTTGCACAATTTCCTCCAAACTAATCTTTTCAGTGATTTCCCTTCAATAAATAAGACCAACGAGTCGTTCAAAAACTCATCTTCCATTTTGTTCCGTAACCTTGTTTTCACAATATTCATTGCTGAAAATGACCTCTCTGTTGTCGCAGTAGAAACTGGGAGGGTAAGTATCATATTTACTACTCGATAAACAAGATCAAAAGTGGTTTCTCTTCTAGTCCTTACCAACCATTGACACGATTCTAAAACTGATGATAGCTGCTTATAGTTTGCATGTTGAATAACATCAATATCATAATTTTTTTTTATGATCCCTGAAATCTTCAGGATAGAACTTCTCTACCAATGACATTCATCAACACTTCGAAACGGCTCACATGCATTTTTAGGATCCGAAGTTGATGAAAGAGAAAGCAACTCCATTGAACTATCATTAGAACGATGATCTAACTCCACTAATTGACAGTTAACGGCTTCGTAAAAGATATCCACTCAAGAATGATGTTCAAGTGTATGATCACTATGCTTTTTACGAGCCCGAGCCTCTCGGCTAAAGTAAAAAGAAGACAAGTCATGAATATCTTTGTTACACACCTAACAAGACAAATTAGGAAATAGACAATTTAGAAATATCCACTCGGTAATTAAAGATATTCAAGTGTATGACAACTGTATTGTATACGTGACAAAATGACTTAACAAGATTAAGCAAATCATCCCATCTTTCATCCTTCATTTTTTACAATAACCCTTTGTGGATGCGACTACCGTCAATGCATTAGAAATATCTTGATCTTGTTTTTGTAAAGCCTGACAAAGCAAATCGGTGATCTCCATTATTTCTTTTTCGAGATGAAAAAAGAAAAAAAAGTCAAATGTAATGTTACATGGTCAAATTCTATTCATTTGTGAATCTCTTCTATTCATCGGGCAAGTCGCCAATTGATATAAACCAAGCTATTAAGTTTCACAACTTTCGGACTCTCCCAAACTTATGCTTAGTTTAATCCGAACCCCTAACCTTATATATCAAGACATTTTATAGCATCTTCCTTAGCTCACCAACCCTCAAAACATCTTTATAACCATCTCCAAACCACTCGTTTTTGGCTGGCAAAACATGGGTTCGGCTCGGTCTGATCATGGCTCCGGAAAAGAGCGGTTGAAGTGGACTCAAGAACTCCATGATTTGTTCGAAAAGGCAGTTAATCAGCTGGGAGGTCCCGATAGTAAGTAAAGATGATGAAGTTTGATCATGCATTATCTGTTTGAAACAATTGCGGTTGAGTAGTCTAGTTGGGTAGCAGATTGTTCGAGCTTGCGGCTAGAGAAAATAGTATCAAGCACGAGTTTTTGAATAACTCTTTTCAAAGCAGTGCTCGAGCTCCAATATTTTTTCAATGTTTGGCTCGAGCACGATGCCTGTTTAACGTAAATTTTATGCTTTATAACCTCGTTTATACACTCGAACTCAAGATCGGTTAACTTGTTTACCGGCTCGAGCTTGACGGTGTTTTTAGATTTTGATTTTATGATTTATAAAGATATAAACATGTTTTTGCTCGAAAAAGTGAATGCTCGAACAGCTTGACTCGAAAAACGTAATCGAGCTTTCGAATGAGCCGAGTCTAGTCGAGTAGCAGATTGTTTTAGAAAATATTATCAAGCACGGACGCGGATATTTTTTCAATGTTTGAGCTGAGCTCGATGCTTGTTTAACGTAAATTTTAAACTTTATAATTTTTTTAACTCATTTATTGGATCAAAATTGATTACTTGTTTATTGACTTGATCTCGATAATTTTTGGATTTTGATTTTATGATTTATGAACACACACATGTGTTTTGGCTCAACAAAGTGTATGCTCGAATGGCTCGGTTTGACTCGAGCTTTCGGAAAACGATACCGAACTCGAGTAGCTAGTTGAAAGCTCGAATCGTCCTAGACTACTAATACGATATATTAGTTTTGATTCATTAACGAATCTTGATTAGCTTTGCGTTGAATGTTTGTGAATGGTGGTGATTTGTAGGGGCTACTCCAAAGGGTATATTGAAGGCCATGGGGATAACAGGACTTACCATTTACCATGTTAAAAGCCATTTACAGGTAAAGATTTAACCCGGTTTCGTTATCGTATGCCTTATATTCAAATCTTGCAAGTACAAGGTATTCAAAGCTTGTCGATTGTCGTTTTTACCCTCTCATTATAACAAAATTACACAGCAGTAAAAGACCTACGGGTGTAAATAAGATGAGACAACTTGTGCTACTTTAAATCAGCTCTCGGTACAATTATATATATATATATATATGTATATGTATATGTATGTGTTCACCTATTATATACATATTGTGAAGCATAGTATATAAAATACATATTATGCATGCACCAACCCATAAAAAATATATGTACCATCTTCTTCTTTATCTTCGACCACGGTGCATATCTATTGACCACCTTCTTTGTCGTTTCCTACAACGTAAATTTACCAAAATAACCAACTCATATTAGAGTTTACCTTATTCGTAGAGGGGCAGAAAGGTCATAAACATATTAAAGATTAAAGAATTTACAAAAAGGAAGACATAAATGAAGAAAATTCCTAGAAGAATTCTGATACAACAACTTGCCACGTCATTGCCTATGGTTTCTATGTAAAGGAGCTACCATAAGTCTATAGGACGAAGATAGGCGGCCTAACAGGTTTTATCGACAAGAAATTATGATCTAATAGGACACAAAATGCAAATTGTTATACTAATTTTTCTATAAGTGCTCACCAGATAAGACTCTCAGTCCTTGTCATAGCTTTTATCAAGTAAGATTCTCAATCCTTATCATGTTCGTCCAATAAGGTAAAGTGAATCGCTAAACACTCACCAGGTAAGCGTTTAATAAACAACCCATCAATCTTATATCTCTTATCCGTATAGAAAAGGAACCTTTCTGAATGATACAAACAATGTTAGATACAAAAGGGTTGTGGAGAAGATAATAGAACTGAATAAAATCAAGAATCATGTATGGAACACTTTCCAATTACTATAATTCGAACCTAACAGCCTTGGGTTCACAAATTCAGTATTGGGATAATTCTTAAGCTTTCCTCTCTTTTCAAAAGCTGTGAAAATCGAGATACATATAACCAAATTCTCGTTTTTACACATTTAAATGAGAGATCGACCATTACGAGCGGTTAAATGGTAATAACTGTTAATGAATAAGATTGAAGAGAAAGTACAACCGAATAAGAGTTCAAAAATCGAAGTCTGACTCCATTTGGGACTAAGTCTGGTTCAGACCACAAGTCTAAACAAGAAAGTTCAGATCTCTGAATCCATTAGCTTAGACTTGGGACTGAGTCTGAAACAAGTATGAACAGAAGGTCCAAAGTTCTAACTCTATAGGTTCAGGCTTCAGACTTAGTCAATTTTTTCAAGTCTGGAAAGTCCACGAGTCTAAAAGTTCAGATATCTGGTACCATTGATTCATAGGCTTAGAACTTAAGTCTGAGTGCACTGTTCAGACTTAAACACTTAGGGGCCGTTTACCAAACGCTTACTCGTGTAATTGTTTACCAAGTCACATTACCTTACCGGATGAATATGATAAGGACCAAGAATCTTACCCGATATGAGCGAGTACCACGGTAAGCGCTTACCAAGCAAATTGTTGCGTGGACTAAAATTTTATTCGATAAGTAAATAATAGTGTTAAATTTTACCCGTAAACGCTTACTGGGTAAGTGTTTGGTAAACATCCCCTTAGACAATTTCCAAGGTAATCAGAGCTTTGATCGCACTAGCCAGACTTAGTGAGATTTTCACTAAGTTCGACTTTTCATAAATTCCAGAAACCTCGGGGCGCTACCCTCAGACCACCGCCAACGGGCTATGCCCTTGGAACTCCATAAGGAGGTGTGACCCCTTGACTCCCGCCTTATGACGATCTAAGGTGATAGAGACAAAATTTGTAAGTGTACACTCCGCACATCCTAACCCACTTATATTTGTCTAATCATCTTAATCGATCTTGAGTGAATCATAATAACACTAAAATGACTGATGACATTAAAATCACTGACAAATAAAGATTTTGTTAATTGCTTGCTTTGGTTTTATTTTGCAGAAATATAGAATGTCGAAGTTTATCCCCGAATCATCGAGACGTAAGTTCTAAGACTCTTCCTATCCGACATATCATCGAGAATTGAATTACTCATTACAACAAATTCGGGTTCATAAGACACCAACATTGTTTAAATATTCTAATTGACTGTTTTATAGGACCAAACAATAAACTATCACATCTAAAAGTATTGTAATAGGTTTATAGAACGTTTATAGACGTCTTAACAAGTTTCTTGAACATTTTAAAAATAAAATGTAGTATTAGCTATTTTATAGAACATTTTGAGGAGTGTACAATGAACACATTTCTTTATATGACACATTTTTTAAAATCAAATAGCTAATATGATATTTTATTTCAAAATTCTCCTAAAATCTTTGCTAAGACGCCCAAATAATCTTATAGAGTTATTACAACACTTTTAGATACGATATTTTTATTGTTTTAGAAATATGTAATTATTATACTTTTTAATTAATTAAATAACAAATTTACCTTTACTAATAGAGTAATCAATTTCTCTATCTAATAATTAAGTGTATGCTATAACAAGATAGGTTTATAGGATACCAAAAATATGTAAGTGCCTTAATAGAGTATTTTAAAGGACTTGTGTTTCTAAGAATAAACCATAAAATATGTTAAATAAGTTGATATAAAGTTGTTAAACATTTGGAAAAGTTTTATTTAAAATAAAGTTTCGTGTTAACTATTTTATATGACATTATTTGGAAAAAAAGGTTCAATTAAAAGATTGGTTTATGCAACACTTTTTAAAAAAGTATTCTATAAAATAGATAAAACAACACGTTATTTCAAAATTGTTTTAAAAACTTGTTAAAACACCAAAAAAAGGTCTTATAAACCCATTGTAACATTTTAAAATAGGACAATTTATGGTTTGATCCTATAAAGCACGCTATTAGGATACTTAGGGGACGTTTACTTAAACACTTACCGGTAAAATTCAATACATTCACTTACTTAGTGGGTAATATTTTAGTCCGCCAAAACGGCATTGTATGCAACTGTTTACCCGGTAAATGCTAACCGTGACAAGAGTAATCGTCCTAACTTACCGGGTAAGACTCGATTCTTACCCTCTCTCTTACTGGGTAAGATTTTTAATCCTTGTCATATTCACGTGATAAGTTAATGTGACTTGGTAATAACTTACCCGAGTAAGCGTTTGGTAAATGGTCTTTTAGACATTTTAGACGCCCTATAAATTAACCCAATTTTGTTATAACGATAGAATTAGAAAGTATCCACTTACCTTAAAAATTTTAACTTATTTTAAGACAAACTAAAATAAAAATACAAAAATTTATTTTGGGCCTCATGATCGATTCATTTACTATTTGATAATAATTCGTTCACAAGTTAGAAAAAAATTAGTCCCCTTTGGATATAAATTGTTGTACTTAACGACTTACAGGAGACAAGCTCGAGAAAAGAAGCATACCGGAAATGTTTCCAAACTTTGGCGTAACATCGTGAGTTATATATTATATATACATACTATGATAGAATCAAATTTATATATGGGATATAAAAATATTATACGATTTGAGTTTATATGATCAAGTAATAAGCTGTCTTATCATAAAAGTGTTACAATAAGTTTATATGACCAATTTGGACGTCTCAACAAGTTTTTAGGACATTTTATGAATAAATTTATGAAGTATCCTGTACACATCTTTTTATAGGACATTTGTTTTATAAACCAAAATTTTAAATAAAAATATAATATGCCATTTTATTTTAAAAGTATCATAAAAACTTGTTAAGACGTCTAAAAACGTTATATATTCTTGTTATAATACTTTTAGATGCAACACTTTATTCTAAAAGTAATTTATTTTGCAGTGGTGCTCAATTAAATGAAGCATTACAAATGCAGATGGAAGTTCAAAGACGATTAAGTGATCAATCTGAGGTAAGTATTGCAAAACCCATTTTCATTTTTCACACTACAACAAAACCGGGTTTATATGACACTCCTAATTTTTAAACGTCTTAATAGACCTCTTTATAAAAATTAGTTTATAGGACCCAAAAAATAAAGTGTCATATCTAAAAGTGTTGTAATAAGTTTATATGACGTTTTTTGATGTCGTAATAAGTTTTTTAGGACATTCTTAATATAAAGCATCTCTTTATCAACTTTATAGGACACTATTTGAAAAACTGTCCTATAAAAACAAATGTCCTATAAAAAATTGAGTTTATAGGAAATTTTCTCAAAAAGTGTTCTATAAAGTTGATAATGAGATGTTTTATATTAAAAGAGTCCTTAAAAACTTATTACGACGTCAAAAAACGTCATATAAACTTATTACAACACTTTTAGATAGGAAACTTTATTTTTTTGGTCCTATAAACTAAGTTCTATAAAGAGGTCTATTAAGACACTTAGAATTTAAAAGTGTCCTATAAAACCGATTTTGTTGTAGTGATACTCAGTTTTTTTCTTCGTATTTTCATATTTTGTATCACAATTTTTCAATAATTAGGGGTTTAATGTAATAGGTTCAAAAGAACTTGAAGCTGAAGATTGAAGCACAATCAAAATTTCTTGAGAAACTCACCGAAGCACACAAAACCCGACCAAATATTGCAAAGATTAGTAAGATCGTGACATCTCCAACATCTCTACCATCTCTCTGCGATGTGTCTGAATCCACCATGAAAGACTTCGAATCCGATTCTGAAGTAGACACAAATGAGACGAGATACAAACAAGATCTCCGCAACGCAAAGAGGGGTAGGGTCGATCATGACGATGATTTTGCACTCACTCAGAGATTCAAACGTACTTCGCTCAATACTGCAAGTGTTCTCCTTCCGAAAGGAGGCAATTCGTTTCCTCCCCAAGACGACATCTTTCCGTGGGGTTTAGCGTTTTGCCAGTCCCCGTTGATTCCGGCTTCATTTAATTCTTTTGGTTAGAGCATTGATCGTTGGCTCCAAAGAATTTTGTGCATGTTGGATACTTGGATTGTATTGTACTTTAAATAAATTATCTGATCATCTTGATAAATAAGCATGAAATTCATGAAGTATTACTAATTATCCATAAATATTTGTTATGTTTTTTGTAATTGGTTCGCAATCTTTAATAAGGGAAATAGTCTATCTACCGCTTTGGGTGGAGGAAAAAATTACATACATCAATCTTAGGGGCTGTTTACTTACCCCTTATCCCATTAAGAGGTAGGTTGTTTACTTAGGGGCTGTTTCAATATACACAACTGACCGCTTCTCTTTCCAGAAAACATTCGGTCAGCAACAAACTATACGCTGATCAAGATCAGCGTATCTTCTCCTTGATTTCTTCCGATTTTATCCTCATCGCTCGCTATTTCTATCGTCTTCCTCACATCATCAGATCATCGCTTCCCTCAAGTGTTCTGCCTACGATAATCGACCTCACCTCTGTCGATTTCATCTCCTGTTGCTGTCACAGATTGTATCAATTTCAGGTACGATTTTCTCACATCATCAGATCATTGCTTCCCTCAAGTGTTCTACCTACCATAATCGACCTCACCTCTGTCGATTTCATCTCCTGTTGCTGTCACAGATTGTATCAATTTCAGGTACAATTTTCTTTATGTAGTCAATGATACACATGTAGAAACACATATTTCATTCTATTGGGTGGAATTTCTGTGAAGGTGTTCATAATTCCAGCCAAACAATCTACTGGATTGAATATAGGGTTGCATCTTTATACACATTTGACTTCAACGTATGAAGCAACCCTGCCAACTCCTTATCAGGATGTGCCTGTATTGACAATGCTTGTGCAACTGACAGAACCTGATTCACAAGCACTTATACTAGTGGTAAGATAACATAACCATAAGACCCAAGTTTAATAATTGACTAGGCTCATTAAATCCAAAAACACAAAACTAAAGCAAAAGCCAATTTGACACAAAGCTTTGTTAACTTAAATAATGGTATACCGATCTATATAGAACATACAAACTTAGTACTCATGTGAAATCATGGTTCATCACAGTTTAAAATGAACGTCCTTGCCAATCAGTGAGCTGCATTTGCCTCAACCTCATCTCTGTATCAGGATTACACTGTATCGAGCTCAAAAACTTGATAATCTTCTCAAAAACCAATATCATGGCTTTCCTACACCACATTAGAAAAGCATTGCTATAGTTTCTAATGTTGGCCTAGATGATGATTGATTAGCTTTACAATGGAAGGAAAGGAAACTATAGATACCTATCTATATTCATAAAAGGTCCCTAAATATAGACAAATGTCCCTAAGTCAAATTTGTTTCTGTGTCTGTTGGTTCTATATTGTTTCATTATCTTTTCTTCATATTATTCTCTTTTAGGCTTGATTGTGCAGGAATTAATTGGGGGTTCACCAAACCTCTACAGATTTAGTATATATGGTGATTTAGAATTCTGCTGGTTTATTAGCTTTTGCACAATATGTTGGCTCAACTTGACAACTCAGGGACATAAAAGGCCATACTGAATTAAGCCTAGCTGCCCTCAAGGTTATAGAGATCCTGATTTAGATTGGCTAGGACTACTCTTAACAGTTGGTGACTGTTTGGTAACTGTTATGTCAACGTTGGTAAAAATATGCATCTTTACTTGCCAATTGAAGGAACTATCTGAGCACCTGTGCATCGGGCTATTCGCTCCAGAAGTGGCCTGTTGATATTTAAAAACAAGAGATATGTCCTTTGCAAGAAGATATTCTTGTGCATAACGTGAAACTGATTTCTCCACCAAAAGGACATTAGGCTGGTGTGCATCTATCTTTGCCACATCCATCTTTAGATGATCCATTTTCTAGACAGAGACAATGCCATATATATATATATATATATATATATATAAGGTAACGTACAAACACAAGTAGAATAAACTATAACCTGCTGCAACATAGTATCAAAACTTGACAAGTGGTTAGAAACCTGCTGCAATTGAGTTTCCCTTGTATCCAACAGAAGCCAACTGTACAGGGCCTGAGAATGACACCCTTAGGACCTTAAACCCAAATCATAATATAGCAAACATGAAAAATAGAGAAACTTGTTAAGAGTGTAATTTCTGGTTACGCCGTATTTAGTGTTGATCAATATTTCTGGGTAGGAAGAGTGATGATCGTTATATAAAAAGAAAAGTTCGAGCTTAGGAAGTTCATAATGAGCATTAATGGCATATGGAGGTTATAACTGTTTCTGGGCTCACAATAGGTTTTGCATTACTTGAAACCCAGAAAGACCATTCTTGTGGGCAGCCTTAGATAAATAGCATAATGCCAAGATAAGTTTGTTCTTATATCTTTTTCTTATAAGCAATAAGTGTTTCTACTAGACTACTACTAAAACAGAAGTACAAATGGAATAAAGACTTAAAGAGAGAGAGACCAAACACTTGTTTTGCCAAAAGGCAGTTAAGAAACTTGTTAAGATTGTATGCCATCTACTTCATGTTCCAACACATTTTATTGGTATTTTGATTCAGTTAGTGCTTTATCCATCCACCAAGAGTTGCTTGCTTGGTTTTTGAGTATCAAATTTGACAAAAGTTACTTATTTACTTTTAAGACTAACTTGGCATACCCTATTGTACAACCTTTTAACTAATCATGATATGATGGTTACTTATTCACTTGCAAGATCATGCATCTTTTAATTAATCATGATATGATGGTTAATGTTTTAGATATGTCAAATTTTGGTGAATCTTCACAATCAAAAAAGCCTAGAGTTAATTGGAAAAAAGAAAATATGGTGAAAACATTTATCGAGTCTTGTTTGCATGAGATCTCCGTAAATGGGCAAGAAAGGGGTAGCCTTAAGGCAGTTTCTTGGAAGAATGTGGTAGAAGTGCTACAAAAGAATCATAATTTTGTTGTTGAACAACGACAAATGAAAAACCATTATGATTACCTCAAAGGAAAGTATGGAGCATGGGCAAAGTTAAGAAACAAGACGGGTAATGTTTATGATGCATCAACAAACATGTTTAATCTGTCAGAAGAGGAATGGCAGATAGAAATGAAGGTCACATTTTATCTTTTGCTAATAAGATTATTTTCTTAAAATTTTCTTTTATATATACTTATAAATTATCTATAAACAACAAAACAAATTTGTTGAGAAGTTGCGGACTGCACCTCTTCTCTTTCCTCAACTTTGTATTCAATTGCTTGATGGCGTGACTTCCATTGGTGTTGGAACTTGGGGACCAACTGCTACTGTTCCAAACCCTTCTAGTGTGACTCCTGAAATTGGTGAAGATTATGACACACAAGACTATTATGATCTAACACAAGAACACTTCCTTCGGAAGAAGAGATTGTTTTTCGTCCTTAACCTTAAAGGAAAAAGCAAAGAGGAAAACAACGTTCCACAAATGAGGATGATATAGCAAGGGTTGTGACACATGTTAAAAAGATCTTGAACAAACCACCTGGGGAGGATGAGATGGATCATTACATTGATAAGTTGGAAACACTTGGATGGGAGCAAAGTTCGTTGTATGACATAGCACTTTACATATTCAGCCAAAGCACCGACTATAGGAAAATTTGGTTACGCTTGAGCAAGGAGAGGTGTGAGGGGTGAGTTAAATTTACAGGTGGTAAGCTTGGTCTATTTTAGTTTGTTGACGTTTTGTTTTGTTTTGAACAATCTTTTTTAGGATGTTTTTTTCGATGGTATTATGATTGATGTAATATGAATAAATGGCTATTTCTATTTGACGGAATGTTTGTTTCAAGTTGATATTTTTCATTTTTTTTCGTATTAGTTGTTTAAACTTGATGTTGTATGTATGATATCTTTGAAACATAAGGTGATGTTATTTTGTGTTTTATATTTGCAAGGTCATACATGGATGAAAATGAAATTATTATGATTGTGCTTATTATACATTGGTATTTGAGAAGAAGAGCTTCAACACGAATAGAAAGGGTGAGAGATAACACTTCAGTTTTCACTGGACATGCGAATACACAAGAATTATTAAGTGGATCCAATACGTAATGTCATGAATTGATGCGTTTATCTCGTGATGCCTTTATAATGCTATGCAACCATTTTAAACAAAAAAATTGGTTGCAATCAATTGACAAAACACCAAACACATCAGAGAGATTTAGGCACCTCAAGAAATATTTCCGGTACGATTTAATGTTATTGATTTGATAATTTCTAAACGTTTTTGATATTTTTTTTACATGTTTCTTATAATTGATGTTTTTTAAAGGGGGCTATAGGTACACTAGATGGAACCCTGATACATGCAGTTGTGCCTAGTGATCAACAAACAAGAGGAAGAGGAAGAGGAAGAGGAAGAGGAAGAGGAGAATGTTACCAAAACGTTTTAGCCATTTGTGATTTTAATATGATATTCACCTTTGTATGGGCTGGATGGGAAGACATTGCACATGATTTTAGAGTTTTGAGGGAAGTTGCATTTAATCCAACTTCGGGATTTCCATTTCCTTCATCAAGTAAGTATCATCTTCCTAACATTAAAATATTATTATTAATCCATATTTTTTAAGTTGTAGGTGTAATTACAAATGAATATTATCTTTGTGATGCCACATATACTTGTACCCGTGGATTTATGACTCCGTAGCGCAGTACGAGGTATCGGTTAGCAGATTTTCGACGTAGAAATGCATTAACAAAAGAAGAAATGTTCAATCATGCTCATGCACAACTTAGAAATGTAATCGAGCTTGCGTATGGTGTCTTAAAAGCAAGATTTCCAATCCTAAAGCAAATGGCTCCTTATCCTTTTCCAATACAGAAAGATGTGGTGATTGTGTGTTTCACGATTCATAACTTTATAAAAAAACGCAATATCCAAGACCAATTATTCTTGGAACACGATGAGAACACCATGTTTACCGTTGCTGAAGAACAACATGAAGAAAACAATGAAATAGAAGTTGATGAAATGGAGTGGAGTTCTCAAGACAGTGAATATATGACTAATTCACGTGATCAGATTGCAAATCAGTTATTGTTGATCCTCTCTCTCAGTGATTTGATGATAATCCCTTTTTCCTTTCGATGTATTTCTGTATCTGTAATTTCAGTTCCAGCGATCATACACTGAGCTTGTTCA